CGGTCTATCTGTACTACCATAGAGGTCTTCTAGAAACTGCGCAGTACAGTACAGTATACTGTAGTACTGTACACTGGCTACAGTAGTTTGTACTGTACTGTACTGTACTTTTCGTTTGATGAAGAAAACTATTTTTTACCTCACACACAGTCTATGTGTGGTTTCATCATTCTATCACGCTTGCGTAGTGGTTTGACCCACGCCGCAATCCGGGTGGTCAACTATAATCTGCAGGGCTCTTTCTCATCAAACGGATCTCTCTGCAGCGTGTACTGTCGCTGAAGCAGTTGAGGAACAGCACGTACTGTACTTTGTTGCCCTTTCCGCCATCTTGGTAGTCCATTCTCGGTTAATCCGTGATTAGAAATATCGACTTATAATGCTGTCTGCACGTTTAAGTAATACCGTTGGTCGGTTATTGACTGGTAGATTGCCACAGGTTAGTTATATTGCTTGATAGAGGATGATTGATTACTTTTTCCGCATTTTCTCTTGACCAATCTGTTGCGTCAAGCTTTGCAACTGCAGAGGGGTGCCATACGTTGTCCTTCTGCAGTGCCACAAATCGACTATCTTCGATTTTAGTCTCTGTACTAAATATGAGTTGAAAAGCATCGTGATAGAAAATGAATTTAAAGGGTCTAAATGAAAATAAAAAGAAATTCATTTCTTATGCAATTGATATCAAGGTCTGTCGTGGTTCACTCGGATCCGCGGCTGTTGCATCTCGCAACCTGTCTACTGGTAACATCCAATTTGCCTCTGCCGGTAAGCGTATGGAGTTGACGACATAGTGCATGCTACAGCAGTTGTAAAGAATAATTCTTTTATCCTATCCTACCTATCAAGGTATAACGCTCCTTTTCGTTATTGTAATGATTGATATTGTATTATAATGTGATACTTAGGAACTGCGGAAATTTCTTCAATCATTGAGGAAAAAATCTTGGGACAAGATGATAAAATTGAACTTGAAGAAACTGGCCGTGTGTTATCTATTGGTGATGGTATCGCGCGTGTCTTTGGCTTGAAAAACATCCAAGCCGAGGAGATGGT